TCTCTCTGCCCCTCCCCCGTTCATGCTCTGTCTCTCTCTGTCCCAAAAATAAATAAAAAACGTTGAAAAAAAAAATTAAAAAAAAAAATAAAATAAAGATACCATTTGAATTGTCCGGTTTCCATACCTGTTATCTTGATTCTAACTGCTATAATTTCTTTGTCCTTTTACTTTTTACTCACTGTGATTATCTCAAACTTTTTCTTCATGTCAATCATTCAATTTACTCTTCTAAACTTTTCTAATTTATTAGTCTTACAATGGTGTTCATTTGGTCTTCAGTCTGTCCTCTTAGCTCTGTGATATCTCCTTTTTACTCATTCTGCTTTTTATCTCATTCTCATACTGTTTCATTAAACTTATGTCATTATCAGGTTTCTTGGTACTAGAGTACTTACAGAAATGTTCTTTTTTTTCCTTGAGAGAGTTTTCTTTCAGATTGGGTTCTTCATCTGACTTTCATTACATACTATCTATTTTACTTTTGGTAATATTTTAAGGGGGCAGATCTGTCTAGGTCTTCTGTTTGTTCTGATAAAGTATCGGTGGATTTCCCGAGACTTCCTTTTCCACACTATTTGATACCAATTTTTTTTTCTCTCCCAGAGATAACTTGAGATTTTATTGCATCCTCTATACCAGGAACCATCCCACTGAGTGCATGTTTATCCCATTTCTGTGCAGCATTCCCTGGCACCTTAGATTGTTGCTTTGCTTTAGCATGGAGCTCTGGGAAATAGGATTCCCTAGATTTCCACTTTCTTCTGTGACACTAGTGATGATACTAGGGGCTTCTATGCTAAAGGAATTTACTTTGACTATGATATTCTACAATACACAGAATATTCTATGATAGTCTAAGATACATGGAACCTTCATTTCATTGTCTTTACCTAGAAGTTTACGCCACTTGATTTTGATCCTAAAGAGTAATAATAACCCAACGAATCACATTTATCAGACTAGTCTCAAAATGGTTTCTAACTCTTAAAAAAAATCTATATCCTTTAGAGATACTTTATTATCTTTATAGATATAAAAGGCTATACTGTACTCTTTGGAGAAAACTTCAAATGCAGCTAAAAAAAAAACCTCTGATGAATAATCCACACAGTTGGAGGGAAATATTACAAGTATTTTCAGTGGAAAATATATTCATTTGGATATATAAGTTCTATTGTGTGTATTAAAATATCCACTATATTAGTTTATATTCACAACCATATAGTATTAACACAGTGGCATATCTTAATAAGCATATTCTTTCTTCCTTCAGCAAATGTCTTCCTTTCCAATAATAATGTGTTTGCAATTACTCATTCCTGATATCTTGATGCTATACTAAACTTATCCTTTTTCAGTTAGCCACGCTGATTTTTCCTATCAAGTATTTCTTTTATCCATCTTTTTTCCCCACAATCATTGCTAACACAATCCAACTTCATACAGTTAGTGGAAATCTTTGACTAAATTTATCAGCTTCTCAGTTGACACTGTGAGACTATCCTTGCATTTTTATCACATGGTTCCTCCTCCAAAAAGTTGCGGTGGTACCCGAATTTCCTCTGCATTATATTTAGATGCTTCTAGTCAGTTTTCAGGAGGGTCTTTACACTGATGCTACCATAGCTAAGTGAGCGGGAGGAGAACACTGTATGCAATAATCCAGGAAGTTCAAGATCTATTTTTGGTGCTACCTCTTCCGTGAAACCTAAAGGCACTGCCTCAAAGTGACCTTTCTCTAGTCTGACTTACTACGGCACTACATGATACAATATATAATGGAACTTTTTACTTCATTTAGTTGATCTTTTCTCTCCAACTAGTCTGCCTCTGCTGTCAAGGACTATGCCTCATTCATGTATGTATGCTTTTTCTTACTGCTCTAATAGTTAGCAGAGCTGACTTAATGTCTTTCTTGAGATGGACAGATATATAAAAGAACTTCTAAAGCATTCTTTTCTAGTTCAGTCTTTCTCCCACCACCAAACACTGGCTATTCAACAGAGAGGAGAGAAGTGAAATACCTTGGTGGCATAGATTTCATATTGCTCTCTGGCTCTTCAAACACATTAGGACTTGCATCAGGTGTTACGGATATGTATGGGGCAGGTACAGATGTTGAACGTAGATATCTCATTTCATCCTGGAACAGGTTGTCATCTTGATAGCCCACAAAGTTTTCGTGATGATGCCTGCATTAAATTAAACCCAGTAACTTCAAGTATGATGGCACCATAGATATTTTTCATTTTTAATCTCTTTCATAAAAGAAAAGTAGCACATGTAATTCTATAAGGGTAAAGTATTAAAATAATTATAGATATAAGTAGGAGGAAATAAAAGTCGGACAATTTCACACATATATATTCTAGGTGCCACAAATAGGTCAAATCCAAAATTGAACTCATTTTCTTTCCTTTTGAGAACTTTCCAACCTCTGGTATCTTGATGAATGATCCCACCAACTAACTATCCAGGTGCCTAGGCCAAAGTACCTTGGTACTGTGGTAGGCCTAGTGCTCAACTGTGACCAGTCATTCATGCCTATGATTACTAGGCTTCCTCTCTGCTGACTCCATCATCGTTGCCTTGGTTCAGGCTCATGTTTCTTGAATGGGCTACTGAAATACAGTCAGTCACGTTTTTGGTAGGAAGATATGTAAGAGTCAAATTTGAGAAAAATTAGACCCAAGAAATGTTACATCGGGGGGTGGGGGTGGGTTGTGGGTGTCCATTTCCCAGAGGGCTAAAAATATAAAATCCATAATTATGGTAAAATGGCATTTTTGGTTTTTTACATGTTTTACAATTTGGTTCTTTCCTTTTCAAACTGGAACGAGTTGTTGACCTAGTCTACTAAGTGGTCTGACTGAAGCTCAAGTCTCACATCCTCATTTTGTTTTTCATTCATTTTGTTAAAATAGTAATTACAAAATTAAAAAAAAAAAAAACACCCCGGTATAATTTTGCTATGGAAAGGGCAACACTGCCAAAAATGGAACTGTTGGTTAGCAAGCCATTCCTGTAGGCAATTTGTAGAAATCTTCATTCATCAGCTGTTGAAAAAAAACCCGAACCTCGTATATGAAAGGCCATTTACAATGTCAGGATATAATGTATGGAAGTATAGGTCATACAACTCAAGTCCAATATAGGAAATGGTATACAACAGGCTTCTCTCCACCTTCAGTCATGCCCTTTATGAAGTTTCCATGTTTGAAGCAGAGTGATAGTCTAACTGCAAATAAGTTCATATATTTCCCTGTTTGATATTCCTTAACTGTTCTTCTTGTTCATGGGATAAAATCCAACTTTAGTATGGGCTACACAGCCCCATATTACCTAGTCTTAGGTAACCACTTCTAGGGTATTTCATCTGTTTCTCCTAGTGGCCAATGCTTTAACCAGCCTCTGATTCCTTAAATGTGTAATGCTATTTCATGTGTGTCTTCACACATGTGTTTTACTCTGAGGAGTCGCTGTCCTCCATCACCTACTTGATGGATTTCTATTTATCTTTTAAGACAGCTACAGTGTCAGATCCTCTGGGAGACCTTTCCCGATCTCCTTGGGAAGATTCAGGTAGTCTCCCTCTTTTATGCTCTAACAGCATCTCTTCATACTTCTATTATAGTACTCCTCACAAAATATTTTGAATGTTTTCTTTACATGTAGGTCTGTCTTTCTACAGAGTGTGAGCACACGGGAGTCAGGATTTTATTACATTCATCTTGGTGTCTTCAAAGTCTAGCACAAAGCTGATACTCAGCTAACTAACATTTAAATGCTAATAGAATGAATAATGTAAACAATGAAAGATTTTGAGAGCAAATTGTTTCTTTCCACTTTAACATTCCCAACTAGTAACAGACTGAAGTCAGCTTACCAAAAAGTAAAAGACAGCTAAAGTCGTATTTCCTAAGACATATTTTGTATTGATAATACAAATTGATATAGTACGTACATTTTTTTTTTTTTTAAATACTTACTACCATAAAGTGTGTACCCTACCAGTCGTATGTTGGTCAAGGCAATTCCGAAAATAAATTCCTGGTGGTCTCTTTATTGTATACAATAGATAATGCAGTGTGCGTATTCAGAGCAGGATATTAATCAACAATGGCTATTAATCCCAAGTGATTAAAAAAAAAAGAAAACCAACCACCAAGTTATATTACCTAGCTAATGTCTGCAAGTAGAGACAAGGCATTTTAACAGGAAGATCTTCAGAAATGCCCTCCTTCACGCTGGGAAGCTGAGACTGAAATGGCTTTGCAGGATGGTAACACAGAATGCTTGGCTCTGCGGCGCTGCTCAGGGACAGCAGGAACAGCGCGTTTGCTTTAATCACTTGGTGAGCTTCCATGGTGGGCAAGGCACGAGGAGTCTTGACTTGCATTGGCTTCCTCCTGGACTGTTTGACCTGGCGAAGAAAAATTTGTTGTAGTATTCAAATCATATTCAAATTTTCAATTTCTTAACCTAAATATTTTGAGTTTCTAATAAAAATTATTAAACACTTATAGACCTATTTTAAAATAATAATAGTGATTACCAAAAAGAACATTCACTGTAAGCTTTTCCTGAACGGTCTGCAACTTTTATTTCAAACACAAACTATTTCTTTTCTTTCCTTGGGAAATCAAGAAAACCTAACTAGTAAAATCTAAATGTAATTATTTTTTTTAAAAAAAGAGTAAGTGTGTGTGTGTGTGTGTGTGTGTGTGTGTGTGTGTGTGTGTGTTCTGCAAATTTTTACTTGGGTGTGCTTCTAGTTTCCATGAGACCTACAGTATACTTAAGGATTAAGAAAAAGAGAGGGGGTAAAGAGAGGAAAAGGAAAAGGGTTCAGAGAGATAAAGGTGAAATGGAAAAGCAATGCATATGTGTAGAGTAATAGATAATTAATAATAAAGAATTACATGGAAAACAATTACAAATAAGGCATATGTGCTGCATATGCATATCTTGACATATGCCAAGATACAATTTATTTTTGTAATTAAAAATAGCTAACCTAGTACAAATATTAGAATTGTATATCATTCCTATTATAAAAGCTGATCTTTACTATCAACTAGGTAGAATTATCTGATATAGTACGATAATTAAAAGGGATTTTTACAAGATTTTCTTATCATTAATAGTATCGTCAGAACCAAATAAAAATACCTTCTCCCTTGCAGCAGCCTGTTTTTCACGGAGGTATTTTTCTCTACAGCGATCACAGACTAGATACCAAGTGCTTCCTCCTATGCCACCATCACCACAGTTACCGGCCCATCCTCCACAAAAATGCCCAATGCTATTGTAACCTTGTCCACCAGCATACCGGCCACAACCTTCAAACAAGAGCAAAATTAACACTTTAAGTTCCCTTAACAATCTGACACTTATATATGAATGACAGATTCACCTTCTCAAAGTAAGCAAAATATTGAAGCAGGTATCTCACTTTTTTTCCCCCAGGCTGTTAACTGCATCAGAAAAATAGCATTGGCAAAAAATGATTAAACAGTACCTAAAATACTGGAGACACTCTATACAGGTAGATGAAAAGAAATTTAAGATGTGGGTACATTTAGGCTTACTGACATATGCCAAGAAAATTGGACAAAATAAATATAAGATATTCTGTAAGAATGATATATTTTAAGGAACCTTGTATTTTATAAAACATTTCAGGTGTAATATGTAAAAAGAAAAAAGGTTTAACCAAACTCCTAATAGGTGAATTTTGGAATAGTCATCAAGTGTTATAGAAATCCTTGTATTTATCTAAAATACAGTCTTCTGATTTAATAGTTGAGATTACTTCTATAGGAAAATGCTCGAGGAAATTAGTATAATCTAATATAATTTGCAATTTTTATTAGGAAAATACTAAAATTGAAGGAGACCTAATACTGGGATATTTCCTATGTGTATGGACATGTCATTATTTCTTTTGTGTGAGACACCTTAATAGCACGCTTTGGGTCACATATAAAGCATTAAAAAAATCAAGTGTTTCCGAATGGGATACATTAAAATGCAATTGCACTAAATTACCACCTTACTCTTACAATTTCTTTAGCTGTTTTCCTCAACACCGATATTGGTAATGCACTTTGAAGTTTCCCTGTACTTTAACATAAGTTATAGAGCAGCTCAAGTTAGAAGTTATTCAGTTCATTTTTTTACACAAAGTACTTGTAATATATATTCAGTAATACTGTTTACCTGGGTGAGCCTGTCGCATGTGATAGGTAACGGGGTATGGATGGGATTCTCCACACAGCTCACAGATGGTGTCTTTCTCTGGTCCTCCGACTGCCAGCTGTGCCATCTCACCAAACAAATTACCCCTGGGCCGAACTTCTGTCTTTTCCTTTTTCTTTTTGTCTTTTTTGGCCTTCTTATTCTCTTTTTCACACTCTTTCTTTTTAAGGACTGCACAAGAACCAGGACTTGGAAAAATCATATTCTGGGAAGCTGCTTTGATAGTAGCCAAAGAGATGTCTTCCCAAAAAGCCACTAAATGTTGTAAAGTCAAAGGAAGAGGAGATTTGGACTTCATTGGGTGATGCATGGACATTTCGAAAGTGGCTTCGGTTTTCCCATCCTCACATTTTTCATGCAGAGGTGGTTCTTTAAGCATAGACAACACCTTATTTTTGTTGATACTACCCATTTTAGATATATCTGGTCCATGAGGTGCAATATTAAACATATTCAGTGCAGATGATATTTCCAATGAATGTCTATTTTTTAATTTGGTTTCCTTTTCTTCTGTAGGCTGTTGGCTGTTTAAACTATTTCTTATAGGAGCATGTTCTTTGGAAAGTTCAGGATTAAATTTTAAGAAAGAAGAACAAGCCATTGCATCATGTACTATGCCTTCATGCCACAGGAAAGAGGCAAAGACTGCTCTGGCACACTCAGCTACGGAAGGGGACATGGCTTGCTTGGCCGGCTCTAAAGGTTTGGCTCCATCCCCTTTGAAGAGAAAGCTGGACTTTTCCTTTTTGGGCCTGGTGTGCCTGTTAGCACACTTTCGACTTATTTTGGGGGATGCTCTCATTTCCTGTTCATCTTTCAGTGGTGCTTTTCCTATGCTGAAATGAACTTTATTTGAACCTTCATCAACACTCTTAAATTCACTACCTTCATCACAGGTGCTATCCGTTAGACTATTTGTTTTTAAAGTACTTGAAGTGCAGACTTCGACCACCTCACTGTGAAGGTTTTCTTGTACCACGTGAGGAGAAGGAGCTCTATTTTCGGTTCCTGGGGAATCTTTAGAATCCTTTGGTACTGGTTTTGGTTTTGGTGATGTTGATCGTCCCCTTAACGGTTCTGTGAGGGGCATTTTCTTCTTGCGTAGGGTATCTGGGTCAAGTGTGTAAGAGTCTGATTTGGAACGTTCCCGAGGAGGATCAAGTTTAGTCTTAACAGGAGCAGTGCTTTTTTGAGGTAGATTTTTATCATGTGGTGAGGAGGAGCGCGGAGAACTAGCACCAGATGGGCTAGACCTATTGGCTGGGAGAGTCTTTGGCTTAGGAGATGATGACCGAGAACCTGGTCCTGGAGATTCAGCTCTAAAGCTAGAAGACACCCTCCCATCAGATTTTAGTGTCTGCAAGGTATTATGGTTGGGGGACAAGGACCTGCTATGAGAGTCTGACCTCAACTTTGCAGCATCAGATTTCAACATAAGGGATTCACTAGCTGATAAGCCTTCTGTACTCCTTGGTTTCTTCTGATCAGCAGTAGTTCGGCTCATACGTCCATCAGGTTTAAGTGATCTGCTGTGTTTGGAGGACAGTTCTGATTTTCCTGATGTAGAGAGTGGTCTAGAAGATGTTGAGATAGTTCCTCGGTCACCTGTATGGTCCATTTCATAGTGAAACTTGTTAATAAAATCGTAACTTAAAATTTAGCCACTAAACACTGAAATAAAAGCATAGCATGAATAAAAAATTCATGTTGTCATACACAAAAATACTTGAGGAATAAAGGAAGAAGGGAAAATGTTTCTCATAAAATTTCTATTGCATCATTATACAATCATTGCCACCAAAAACTATTTTCATGGATGCACAACAGACTGAATAAATAAAACCTATACATCAGTATGAATTCCATATCTGAATCTCAGCCCTGGTATAATAATTTGAATTTAAATTCAGGGACAGACTAGAAAGAAAACACAACTATTTTTTTTGGAATAAGAAATTAAGAAAACCTATGTATTTTTCAATATAAAGTAGTCAAGCTAAATTTCCAGCAGAGTCCTATCTCACATCCTTATTAGGGTGATGGTATAGGTCTTACTGAATTGCAAAACTGAACTCATATAGATACATTTATTATTTTCAAGTACACAAATACAATTAGGCTAATAAAGAGCTGCTTAGAAAACCCTCCAATCGGAACTTATGGATTAGAACTTATGATACACGAAGGCCTGAAACTTATTATTTAATTACATACAGTTCAGGCTGTCTATTGCTTATAAACAGATTATATCCTAAAAGTTTATTTAGTTCATTAAGCTTAGCTGGTTAGAACTCAAGAGTTTGTGTCCTTTTGGAAAAAAAAAAGAAATGGGAGGATCCTCAGAATCAGTACTACAAGTCTGAATCATGGGACCTTGAAACAAGGAATCAGGAAAACAGAAAAAAAAAAAAAAAAAAAAA